TCATGCTTGAACAGCAGATGGATCTGCTCCAGTATCAACTTTACTTTTTCTGAACTTACTGTTTGTGCGAAGGTTGAAGGTATAGCCAGCGTGGGAGGTTCCACGGGAGAACTGAAGGGCAAGGAAACTAATGGGTCGAAGGATTCCCTGGATCCAGCAATGACATTGAACTACACTACGAATAATCAACAAATAAGGAAGTTATGAATATATACCTTGACTGGCCCCGACTTTCCCTCCAAATAGGTCTCTACTCGTACGATGAATGTACCTGGGTATGGATATTTTTCTTTTGTGGACTGAGGTATTTCGATGAGGGTCCGGATGGTTGAAGCTTCATCAAAATATCCTAATAGCTTCATAAATATGTGGGATAAAATAGTCGTTTCTGGCGGCTAGCCAATTCGAGTTACTTAACAGAAGATAAGTTAGAGAGGAATTTGCATCTGCCAGCACATCCTCCCATTCTCTAGCATCTCAAACCTTAGCGTAGGCTTGTTCTGGACCTGGTCTTATTCTGGTCCAGTAAAGGTCTCTGTTACCGTAGTCCGGAACGTACCCATCTACCTTACTTGGTTCAATTCAATTAGAAGGACTACTTTTCAAATTCGATTCACTCACTTNTTTCACTGCAGAGCAAAAGTGGGGAATAAATTTTTGCGAAGCAATACACGAAAGCAGCGGATATATCTCCACTAGTAAAACGAAATTCTCGGAACTGCCAATTTTTATCAGTTTCTTGGGTACGATAGCATTAGCAGGCCTATTGTAGGTACGGTATACGATGCTGTTATCCCTGACCATATGGCTGAACCTGCCGTGAGAAGAGATCACTGGCGCAGTCCGCCTTGGAGGAGGCATTTTGCTAGTTGTTCTCATCAACGTGAAGGCTTATAAACCCTTGTAAAGCTGTGAGAAAAGCTTCATTTACGCTTATTCGAGCCACTTTATAAGGTTATGAAAAACCTCGGCGAAGCTTGTTCTATTTCACAGCCACACAAGATTTGAGTATTTATTCTCAGCAAGGTTTGGAAACTGCAGGAACTGAGGAATATGGCGAATTGGTTCAATGTCACCCCCAATCCCCTCCTTCTGAGTCAAACACTGCCGAGATCTCTTAATTCTCAAAAACGCATACAATGATCCCTGTGAGTCTGAAGGGAAGTAGAATGCGTGGCGCATTCCCAACAGGAGGGTAATCCTATGGTTCTGTCCATCATTTCTTTCCTTTTGTGGCGCTTCGAAATAGCAAAGTGGAAGAATTCATCGAGGGAACACTGGGAAACATGAGTCTAAATGAAAACATGCGGACAGGTTACAGGTTTAGGTTGAAGTGAATCATCAAGGGCCTCAAAGTGGTGAGTATTCATCTAGATACTTTGAATTCATGGACTTTTTCAGAGCATTTGGTCAGACAACACTGCGGGTAGAACGACGCCAACTTCACAGACCTTAGCGAGTAGCATCGAGCCAAGTACCTATGGGACGAGGTACGAGGCAAATATTGAATGCTTAAATGATTGATAATTAAGCATGGAATAAGTTTGTTTAGCTGGAACTCAGTACGCTGGAACAAACCCTCAACTGCGGGTTATCGAAGCCAAGCGTCAACGATCGCGGCGCGATTCGAACCAAAAACCTACTACTCCGTATCGCCGTCCGCTCGCAGTAGTACTGTATCATCACGCTACTCAAAATGGTGGTAATGATGCCGCTAGAACTGCAGCTCAAGTAGCCAGGTTGGTCTCCCTATCTGATTATTAGTCGCAGCAGGCAATTAGCAGGTAGCATACTTGTTATAGATTGTTTGCTAACGTCGGTCAACAAAGAGAGGGAGCAAAGGGAGAGAAAGGGAGGGATGGTATATACTCATGTCGAACGACCAATACTCAGTACGACCCCCCCCCACCCCGTACCGCACCCTCCTCCCCACCTCACCTAACGACCAAGACCTCCCCACCTCCGCGTACAACGTGCCCTGATCTAGAGCTGCTTGCAAGAGTCTGTTACATGCTAACCGATTTACCAGTGGGTGGATGTGGACCTCGCCGCTCTATAACTCGGCTGCTGGACTTCTATCCAGACAGATGGAGCCCACTAGTCTGCCGAGACCGTCATTACGAATCAGATTTGCCGGGGAGGGGGAACAAAAACTGATCTGACCCTGATTGTTATTGTAGAAATCCGGCTCACTTCTTATCCAGTGAATCCAAGACCACAAGTGGAAGTCTTCTGTAAGCGCAGTATGTCGACGGGGGGGCATTTTGTACTATCATTGCTTCCTCAGTTCCGGTTTACATGTCTCACTCTGGCGAAACCTGTGAACTCTTGTGAAGCTGGAACAAGGTCGTCAAGCCATCATGTTAAAACCTGTCAACTCGAGAAGAGGCTGTCTAGATAGGTCGACACGTCGATGGGAAGTAGCAAAAGTGCAAGAATGCCCCACTTCACCACCCCCCGTCGGCATACTGCGCCTCTTCTGTATGCTCTTAGCGCTCTTAGCTCCCATCAGAAACATCCATTCCCCACCTGAGATCGCAGAACCAGGTGTGACCGTAGAAATCATCTCAAGTCAGGAGATTTCGTCATTTGAAACCTTTTTCTGGGCAAGCCGTGAACACTTGACGCCTAGCGCTGCCGAACAGTTGCCACCTTCTTGCTTCCTATTGTTTCTTGTTGGATCTTTGGAATCGTCCGATAACAAAAGGGCAAAGAAAAAATGATTGACGATGATATATCCCCCCTCCCTCCAATGTATTAGACTGCTTTGTAGGAATTCTAGGGGACTGGCTGAACTGGCACACTTGGCCCAAGCGAGGTGCAGTCGGAGCAGAAGCAAGTGCTCACAAGTTCCGTGGAAGTAAAGGATGCCGGGAAGGAAGGATTGGCTAACCGGGTCAAAATTTGATTCCTGGGATTCCCTCAAGTGCAGCGTAACGCTTCCGGCCACTGTGCTAAAACCAGAACGTGAAACTTTAGGAGCTACAGCTTATTCGCTTACAGTTTCAGCCTCGGTCCCTCGGTAAGCGCCAGAGCTTCTCGATTCGATACTTCCGTACGCGATGGCGGAAGCAAGTACCGTAATGAGGCTCGGGAACTACTCAATAAATGGACGAGTCGCGAACGGAACAATGGTGAGTTATCCATATTCATATCTACGTCATTCAAGATGCTGCAGAAACTACGGTAATTTTTAATTCAACAAAAAGGTAGCATTCTAACGATTATGGAATAAGAGGTAACAGCTTGTTTATGGCTTTGCCTGATTCGTCGCAGTTACTTGCACAAACACTGTGGAAGTACGCTCTTGATTGCGCTCTATTTTGTAAATTGAAAGAGCTTTTTTGCACTAGTCAGGCGCATCCACATTCTCTGACTTACGACGCGTGCGGTCGCGGACGCGACCATTCTATGGTATTCTGCGAGATGTGTGAATGGGAACTCTTATCAGAAACTCTTTCTTTTCTCCGTTGTGGAGCAAAACTCGATTTTTCAATGGTTCCCCATTTATCGGGCTGAATATGACTAACTCGTTGACGACAATCGCGTTTTCCGAGAAAACGCCGGTAGGACAGAAGCATTTGGTCCCTTGCGTGCGCTATGAGCCACTGGTGACCCATGGACTCCTCATGAACCACTTCTTGTTTTGTGAATCTGCGAAGCGCCATTCCTGCTATCCTATCCACAATGGACCACTAGCCTCACCCAGATGCCCCTTTTTGAGCAACTAGTATTCTCTACTTTTATTTTTTGACTTCTGCTTGTGTGACTTTTATGCTGATTTGCTATCTCGCGCATACACACCACTGGTAAAGGTACATAACACTGAAGGCCGGCCCACAGACGACTCCGCCCATCTTTCAAGGGACCACTGCGAATTTGGGCTCTGCTAACTCTTTTTTCTGCGTGTCGTCGTTTCATACACTTCTTATACTGTTAGAATGTATTCCTTAAGCGCCATTATGTTACTGACCACATCATGCTCCACCTCGCTAGCCAGACCTTGCTCCATGCGGTTGTTTGCTGATCTTTTGCGGTAATCTTATCCTTTTTCAACCATTTTCATCACTTCCAAAGTGCCCATTATAGCTCCATCTACTCTGAGAAATGCCCGACACTTTTGCCTAAAGCGTCCCTTCTCATTAGACTGTCACAAGTGTGCAGGCCAGAGCCTCATTGCTTTGCCAGGACAGCATGCCTGAGCTAATCCTTAAGGAGTGTCCTGCTTGATAGTTGGGGAGGCGGGAGGTCGTATTTAGCCGAATAAAGTCGTATCTGACTTAGAATTGGCGTTGTTTGGCGGCGACCACCCACCTCGTCGGCAGTTTCTTAGACAACAACTGGGAAATGGAACCGGCTGTCACCAGTATGCTAAAAAAACGTGCCCTTGATTTCGAAGAATCCATCTTTAGATATGGTGGCGCTGTCCGCAGAAAAAGAAGGAGGTGCTGCTTTCGCCGCTCAAAAATACATGAGGAAAGCGCTGCCTTTTCGCCACGGAACCGCTGTCCACGGCGACGCCCAACTTTCACCTGAAAGATGCTTTCGCTACTAAATCTCTCCATTTCTAATGGCGAGAGTGAAATGATAGAGAGAGAGAGAGGTGAAACCAGCAAGTAAGATCTCATACGACCACGCCTTTTCTTCGCCTTATGCAAGTACAAGCGCGGTTTGGCCTGGGGTTCTATATGTGTCATTTCAGGCGAGTTTTTTTCTGATCCTTTCTGCATATTCGTTCTAGTTACTATCTTATCACTAGTATATGAGCTGTGCTGTTAGTTATTCTCCCCATTTTTTGAATCCGACGGCGTGTTTTGAGCCGCTTTCCGATGGCGAGTGGACGCTTTCATGTTTACTATGGTCTGAAAAATAAAAAGCGTCAACTAACAAGCCGATTGGTTAGTCGGTTCCGGGCTTACGATGAGTTAGGAAATCTTATACATGATCAGTACTGTAAAGATATTACGTAAACAAATAAACTGATTATTGTGAGAGGAAAGCCAGAGCTGGCTTGATCATCTGTTGAACGATTGCATGGGTCGAGATCATCATAATGGGGAGATGTGCTGAAAATTGTGTATAAAAATCATACTGCGGGGAACCTTGGTGAAACAACTGAATAATTTTGTGCGTCAGTAAGGTGGTCCCCGAACCGCGGGCTCACAAAATAGTTTAACGATGGCACAAAATAGATACGTGCATTGTGTGATCAATCATCTTGGCTGTGGCACTTACGTCATACCACGGATGCCGCTTTCGTCACTTCAGCATAAACCTCACAAACGACGACACCATTAACCCTAGGACTCGTGCAAGGAAGAGCGCCCATGAATCGGATAGTGGTAAAGTACATCCTAAGCATTTATTTGTCGACATGAATTAAAAAAATGTGTACAAAACACCTAGTGTTTCCACACTTTCCACACTAGCGAATCAGGGCGTATCATCTTTGGGATTCCTCCCCTAGTTGCGTATTTGGTTTTGGTCGCTGGGAGAGGGGGGGGGATGGTATTTGGTTTGACAAAATTCTTTCCATAGTCGGTTGTTTTTGTTACACAGACGCTATAAGGGGCGGGTTCGTATCTGCTTGTTGTTGGGAGCGCGAGGGATTGTATTTGCTTGACGAGAGAATTTGTGACGTTGGGAAGGAATTTTTCCTGGTTGTTGACTTTCTGCGCTTTTCTGTTTCGCATAAGTTATACAACCCCGAGCAGGTTCTCGGCAACCTGCTCGATCGTATCAGAGAAATGAACGAGCGAGAGGGTCGTATAAAGTCACTTCTTAGGGGGGGGTCGCACGGGCTCCCTCAAAATCCCCAACCAATGATGTGACCTGCGGCGATCTCTTGTTCCGAAGAGAGAGGTGGAGCATAGTAGTGGTGATCTTTCCAGCCCAGCCCCCTATGCTTTGATAAATATCGCCCAGGTCAGGAACTCCCCAGGGTTGTCCAGGGAACAAAAAGGCAATAAAACAATTCCTCCAAGAATGCAGTCTGGAAAACAGGGGGCGTTCTGCTGGCGTAGACAAACTCTGCTAAACACGACT